GATTGTGTACATGTAGTTAAAAGCAATTGTGACAAAGGAAATACAAAGATTTAAAATTGTCCTTTTCATAGTGATGTTTTCAGCAGATTAAAAGATGGGATTATTTTAGATTTAAGCCATACTCATTTTGCTGGCACTTTACCCTGTGAAACTACAGCAACTTTTGTTAGTTTGTGATTCATGTAAAAAAATTGATTGAAAACACAACCAATGAAGCAACTTATGGGGGAGGCGTGGTTACTGTTGCCTCCCCCCAACTAGTGTTCCCAAAGGGCACATGTGGATACACACGCACTTGTAAACTGATAAAGTGCTTCTTGTACTGGTGTTTTTTATGTGTGTGTTTGTATGTTGAATGTAAGCATCCAAGGTGCCTTGACCGAAGGTTATATTTAGCTCAACAGATGAAAAACAATGTGAAAGTGTAATCCTTTTAATCATACGGAAGAACAAAGTGATTCCAGGGTCTGGAATTTTTGCACAAAGGGAGAGATCTATCCTTGGCTATTTATTAACCATCCAGTGGAATTGTGCCAGGTATTAGAAAGTATTCTGGTTTCTGAAATAAAAAGTATAAAGCCTTCATTCTGTGTCTTTTCTCAGTGCAGTATATGTAGGCCCCCTCTTGATTTCATAACAAATAAGTTGAAATGTAGTTTTACGAATCAGCCAAATAGCTTTCGGCTGTTATCAAACATATTGCCATCTTTTACTCTCACCAGGGGAACTTTGTCTATTAAGATTTTTGGTTTATGTATCGATCATAATTGTATAATCCCAAAGCAAAAATGAAATCAAGGGTGAAAGGAGCTTCAAGTACATGACTGAAGCAAAAAGTACTTGGCCCAATTTTTGCTTGATGGTAAAGAAGATAATTGTGTGAAATTGCCTCTAGACTGTACTAGAATCATGGTGAGCATGTTTCTTTAACCCTAAAAGAGCCAGGGAGGGGGGGACACTTTTTCCAATATTGCCGCATTACAGTTTTTTGCAATGTGGTTGAAGCCTTGCACTGAGATAACTCTTTGCAGTCATTTTGACACCAATTTTGAGAAAACTGAGCATACTGTTCTTGTGCAGTGCATTTTTCAAAGACAGGTCACCCCAAAAAGTTTACTCTTTCCACTGCAGTGTAGCCTAGACTCTGAATGACCATAACAAAACCATACGTCTGATTGAGTTCAGATTTCACGTTTGTAATAATAACTTTCATTCCAAGTTTCAACAAAATTGAGCATGGCACAGCCGAGTTCTTGCCAATATTTGGGGTAATCTCTCTCCCTCCCCCGGCTGTCAATTAATTTGACCACAGCAGGCTTTGCCTGCCCATCCCCCCCTCCCATCTCCGCCCACTAGAAAAGTTCTTTGGGAAAAGTCAACAAAAAAGTTAAAAAGTAAACAGCGCCTCCAAGCGACTCCCTTCTTTTATCCCATGACCTTTCGATCTTTGCTTTGGTTCATACGCACTGACATGAGCGTCAGCGATGGCTGACGGTGCTCAGGTAAATTAACCAATAATTTGTCATCAAGTGGTTGTGAAGATACTGCCATTTAATTGGCAGTGACGACCTAGATCTATCTAGTCGTTGGGGCCTGAAACACGCGGTTTATTGGGGCATTTTGCTAGATGTGTCATGTATGTGTGAGGTTGGGGCTCACACTTTTTTAATTTGATGGGTTCGTATTATGCTGTGAGCGCTACTCACTGCACTGCTAGCCTGTGTCAAATCGGGGTGCATTTAGCCTAGGCCTACGTTTCAAAAAAAATTTTGCTTTCTTAATCAAACCCTCCCCCCCCAGCTGTCGAAACTGACATGGCCGAGGCATACATCATGGATGTACATGTATGTATCTCCTTTAATCTGATGACCAAAATTGATGGTGCAGGCCTAGTCATCAGCAGGATCAGGCATGTCAGGACAGGTGCCCTATATTACTAGCATGGTAGGCTAATCACATAGGCCTACGGTGAAAACCAATCAGACTGGACAATTCCAAGGGCCTACCTAGCAAAACTAGGGAACCTGGTGACTATACGGTCGTGAACGTGATGGTTTTAAGACAATGCAACTGACTATTTATTGAAAAAAATTCAGAGCTTTTA